AACCATGGTGATAGCTGCTTGTCCCAGCAAGATAATAATCACGACAATGATGATACTTCTTTCTCCAATTTAAATGTATGAACTCTAATAAGGGGTTAAAATGGCATTGTATAAACTTATAATTGTGTAGAGGGAAATATCATAATGGAAGCAATTTTAGACATTTCCGTTGTCTTCTAGCAGGTTCGAAATTATTCCAATTCACTTGTGACGAACATAGCCGAAAAATAGTTAATTTTCCTTTCTTGACTTATAAAATTTATCAGCGACCTATATCGTTGAGATTTAAATGTTTATCTTACGGCCTAAATTTTACATTTTAATTTTTCAATTGCAGTTAATTTTAATACTTACACCTTAACTATAATAAATATTTTAAACACACTAAACCTTTTTAATTACAACATTTTAACTACGGTGAAAAAAAAAAAAATACTTTGCAAAGATCTCATAGTACATTATATGAGACGAGGGGTGGCAGCCATATGTTGTATTGAGACGGTAAATGTGAGATTGGGGTACCTGTATATTAAAAAAAAAAATCTGATATATATAAATATATCTATATATATATATATATATATATATATATATATTTTGATCAGAATTGAGATATTTTATAACTATTAACTGAAAGAGAAGTTTTAAAAGTTCAAGATAATAATTATAAATTTTTGAATGTTAGATTAGTTCAAGTTGCATTAAAGCCGTTTACTTTCCAAGGATTAAATACCTTTTTTATGTTAGCACTAAGAGATGCTAGATGTCTTGATTTTAATCAATCCTTAATAGGAGTTATGCAGTCCAGCTTAAGTACTGATCATGTTTATTTTAATTATTTTCCTAATCTTTCTGTATCATTAACAAATAAAAATATTTTAGATGTTTTAACATGCAATATTAAAAATTATGGTTATAATTATAAAGATGACACCGATATAATTGTTTTTACTTATAGAGTATATTATAAAGTTATGAATACTTTATGTTCTGAAGCTAAACTTCTTAAAGGTCAAACAACTTTAATTGAAACAAACACAATTAAAAATAAAATTGAAGTCCCTAAAACCATTAAATGGTCAGAAATTCAGTTTCTAGAAACCTGGTAATTGGAGTCTATGGTTTCAAAAAAATTAGAGATAAATGATGAAATAACTCAGATCGTCCAATCATTCTAGGGTAATGTTACGATAAGATTTGTTAGCACTAATTCTATAAATTATTTAAAATCTTATGATAAATCATAAACTTCATTAGTTTATTATACTCCTTTTAGAAGATCTAATTCCTTGGTCCAAAATCGAAGAAGAGATAAAAAATCCATAATCAAAAGAATTAAAATTTCAAAAAATAATATTTCTCATGGTATATATTGTCTAGATAATGAATCTTCCCTACAGGAAGATTTAGATCCAACTCAATCCAAAATCAGATTCCAANATTCTTTTAGATGGAAGCTAAACCATGGTGATAGCTGCTTGTCCCAGCAAGATAATAATCACGACAATGATGATACTTCTTTCTCCAATTTAAATGTATGAACTCTAATAAGGGGTTAAAATGGCATTGTATAAANGAAATTGGTAGTTTAAAACAATGAGTTTGGAATAACTTCAAAATAAAGAAATATTTTACCTTTATATAAAAAGGGGAAAAAGGATAATTTCTTTTGTTAACATGGTCTTTAACCTATTATGCTCCTCCTAATATCAATCAGTTAAATGAAACCAAAAAATTTCTTATTTCTGAAAAAATAAATTTTGAAGATATTGAGTTTATAAATGAACTCAAGAGAAAATTAAATAACATTTCTCAAATAGAAATGTTAAAGCAATCTAAACTTGAAACTCAACAATTCAATGAATTAATTGATAAAAAACTACAAAATAAAGTTTTAACTATTGAATCTCTAAGAGAAAATTCAAACCAGCTTTTCTATAACAAGGAGTATGATAAAGACGAAGTCAATAAAGAAAGACAGCTTACCAAACCCACTAACTTATCTAAAGAAAAAGACAAAATGTCTGTCAAATGCTTTAAGTGTGAAAAAATTGGACACGTTGCATCTACATGCTATTATAAAAAAGCTATTTTAGCTATGAAAAAATTAAGTATAAATATTTTGACTAAGTCGTAAACATTTATTCTTAACCTTATAGATAAAATTCAAGATCCAAATTCTAAAAGAAAGGTTATTGAACAATATTTAGAGATAAATCCAAAAGAAAAGAGACCTAATTTGTCTCAACCTTATTCCCTAAAAGAAGTCCTTAATAGGACGAAAAACATGATTGATAATCCATTACAAATAAAGGAAGTCTTTCTTACTACGGTACAAGACTTAAGAAAAGAAATTCATAATGTTAAAGAAGACATAAAAGTCATAAAGGTTAAACTCTTAGCTTTGAAAAAATTGCTACTTAAACAAAGTGACATAAATGATGACATAAAAGCATCACATGGCTATTTTTCTTAAGTGATGCTTTTATGTCATCCTTTATGTTACTTCCTTTATTTGTAATGGATTATCAATCATGGTTTCCATCCTAATAAGGCCTTCTTTTAGGGAATAAGGTTGAGACAAATTAAGACTTTTTTCTTTAGATTTTTTAGTGGGTTTATGACTTTTCTTGTTCCTTGGCATAACTTTTTTTATAGAGTTTTCTACCTTTTTTATTGGGCTTAGTGTAAGGTTTTCTTTTACTAGAAACCTTATCTTTTGGAATATCAAGATTATAAGCAAATTGATTACAAAATTGTCCAAGTTCTTTTCTGCCAATTAATCTTTGTCTCTTAAGTTGAGCTTTAAGATTTAAATCATTGCAGAAAGCTAATCCTTCTGAAATATATTTAGAAATTAGTTCTCCATAAGTATAATTTTCATAAGGAATTTTAAATCCTCCATGTCTTTGCTTTAGGCGAATTCTTATTTTTTCATCAAATAAGCCGCGCAATCTTGATATAAATTTTTTTTTCTAGAATTCATTATTAGCATCTGGACGTAATAAAATTTTAGTCAAAAATACATTTTTATACCACCAAAAATGTGTTAAAGTGAGATATTTTAAATTTATTAATTCTTCAAGAGAATATGCTGAGAATTACCCCTATAAGCAAGAGAATTACCGTGATTTTGAGAAACCTATAGTCACAATATTCTTGGAGAGTCTAGAACGCTAAAATGTGTTAAGGTGGGATTTTGAATTTTATCTATAAGATGAAGAATAAATGTTTGTGACATAGTCAAAGTATTTATACTCAATTCATTCATAGCTAAATTAGCTTTTTTATAATTGCATGTAGATGCAACATGTCCAATTTTTCCACAACTTAAAGCATTTGATAAACATTTTGTCTTTTTCTTTAAATGGGTTAGTGGGTTTGGTAAGCTGTCTTTCTTTATTGACTTCGTGTTTATCATACTCTTTTTCATGGAAAAGCTGGTATGAATATTCTTTTAGAGATTCAATAGTTAAAACTTTATCTTATAGTTTTTCATCAATTAATTCATTGATTTGTTGAGTTTTAGGTTTAGATTGCTTTAACATTTATGTTTGAGAAATGTTATTTTAATTTTTTCTTGAATTCATTTATAAACTTAACATCTTCAATATCTGGATAATTAAAATTTATTTTTTCAGAAA